CCAGGATTTTGGCGAACTCGGCGTGAGAGATGGACAATTTTGACTCTGGTGGCACGGGCCAGTTCACCGCCCCGTGTACCGCAGGTGGGTGCTTCTGACGGAGCTCCTCCAAAATTTCCGGGCTGGGGGTGCAGACTGGCGTTGACTCCAAGGCCAACACGGCTCGACGCAGACTGCCGCGTTTAGCGAGCCCCTCGGCTCGGCTAATGATTCCCGTCGCATCGGGCCGGTGGCGTGGCGGTGGAGGCGTGTTGACTGCGTCAATCGCGTCCAGGTACAGCCGCTCCCATTCGCCACGCTGGAAAGCTCGGAGCCGAGCCTTGACCCCCGGCCAATCTGGTCGCTGTGGGGAAGTTTGGCGAAGTGTTAGGCGCGGGAGAAACAGCAGCAGGCGCCACCCCGGCTCGGATTTGGGGTTTCGCGAGAGGTGTAGTAACGGTGTCAGGAGCGCCTGCGAAAACAGTTGACATAGATTTGGCGGTAAACGCCGTGACAGCGAAGGCTGTCGACTGTCGCTGAGTGTAGCAATGTCCCAGCTCGCGATTGTCGCGAACAAGTCCTCCCGCCTCGCCAGCTCGTCAGGCGAGAAATAGCATGGGTTCTGGACGGTCTGTCACGCCGCTGTAGTGGCGACCGCGGTCCGATTTCGTCGAGCGCGGTTCGCCGATGTTGGCTGAACTGGGGTTGGAATGTCACCCGCTCGATCAGCATCTGACGGTCCCTGTTCCGTCTGTGTGACTTGCGTGGTTGCTTGGCCCCCATCGCCACCTCTTCTCCTTCCAGATTCTCTCGCCCTGCCTTCTCCCTCTGACTCCTCGTTTTCACTTGGTGGGAGGGATTCCTCCCTATAAGATGGGTCTGTGGGGTCCTCCTCCTCCTCATTAGTTGCTTCCAAAGTCCTTAAAGCCACCCGCGCTGCTGCCTGGTATCCATTCTCGGGTCCCCCGCCTGTCCCGCTAGTAACCAGCCTCCTACCTCCGCGGCTACTCCGTTCCCCAGATGGTGATTGCTGGAGCGCCTGAGCCGTCGCCAGAGCGCGCTGCCGCCTGGTTGGCCGCCTGTGCCGCCTGGCCTCTCCCCCCCCCCCCCCCCCTTACAGCGACAAGCCCTACAAGGAGAGAGAAAGGAGGAGACGCAGCTCGTGTCGAGTTTGCTAGTCACCCCCGCTAAAAAAAGGGATCAACAGGCCTTAGGATCTTACAGCTCTGGATACCATATTTGAAATAACCTTAGCCTTATGAACCCTAGGCTAGAGTGGTGAGAGAGATTTGCAAGAGAAGAAGGGGTTCTCATTATAGCACAGGTACAAGATATAGCAAGCACAGGTGACCAAGGGAGGTACACCACCAATAGGAATAACTCTACAGTCATTCTACACTAACTAGGTTGTATGCAGTTACAAAAGAATATAATTCTTGACATAAATGATATAAACATTTGACACACCCCCACAGGCTAAGTGAGGGGAATCAAAACAAAACTAAAGAAACAAATGGCCACAAGACCAGTAAATAAAAGCAACAATACAAAGCTCAGGGTGGATCACGAAGTCACCACACAATCTGAGCACAAGCAAGTAGCCACAAGGCCAGTCAAGTGTTTACATATATACATTTATTTATAAATATGTACATACAAGTATACAAGTACAGTAAGAAAACAAGAAACCAGACTATAGAAACCGAGGGCCAACGTCAACAAGGCCTAGCTGCAGACAGCGTAGGAAGAGTCGTAGTGACCGGTCAGCACAACTGGCTGTGTCCCTCCAAGCACAAGCCCCATGCATGATGTAGTCGCCAGATACTTCGCCACCGTCACAGCAGCTGTCTAGTGAACAGAACGGTGTCTCCCAGTCGCAACAAAGCAAGAGAGGATGCTGAGGGGAAAGGCGAGGTCCGGACGAGTACAAGTCATCAGGTACATGAGGCAGCCCAAAAGCTCTGCGTAAGGACCACTAGACTCAAAGGGCTCGTTGGGAAAAGGGCCCGTGAGTCTGTGGTCAACGGAAAGAGGAGTGGGCTGTGTGGTAGAGAACTGAAACCCGAACTGCCGAAGGACCTGCTGCACCATGTGTGACTGAGTCCGAGTGATGGTGCGAGCGGCTCTGTCCCTGGTGATCTGCAAGCCAAGGTAGCGGCGCAGCTCACCAAGGTCAGTGCACGTGTGTCTCTTCTGCAGTTTGGACTTCACCTCAGCCAGAGCGGCCCTGTCTGCTGTAGCGAAGACCAAATCGTCGACGTACACAAGAACGAAGAAAGGTGTGGGCCAAGAATGAACAAACAACGACGGTTCAGCGGACGAAGGACGAAACCCGAGGGCAGCAAGAGTGGTGCACAGCGTGTCGTGCCACTCACGGGGCGCCTGGCGGAGACCGTAGACTGGTCGCCTCAGGCTCCACTGGGTCCCAGGCGGGAAAGTGCCAGTGAAGCCCGGAGGACGGCGCAACTAGATCTCCTCGTGCAAGCTGCCTTGGAGAAAGGCGGTGGAGAAGGAGTGTAGCTCGTAGTCTCGCTATGCTGCAACGTGAAGTAATACCCGAAGAGTCGTCATCTCCGGGGTCGGGGCAAAGGTATGAAAGAAGTCAACTCCCTCGCGCTGACTGAAACCTCTAGCCACGTAGCGCGCCTTGAAGACTGACGGCGATCCAGGCGGCCGCTTCACCTTGAAGATCCACATGCCGTCGACTATGTTCGCCCCAGGTGAGGGAACTGCGTCAACGTAGGTATTAGAGTAGGCTAGAGTTCGCTCTGGCATTTATCATAGTGCTCTTTTGTTATTTCGTCATGTTTAGAGCGAGTTCCACTTTAAGTTCAGTTTAGGTTCATTTCTTGGATTCTAGCACAAACTGAACACACCCTAAGTTCAATTAGGGTTTCCTACATTTGTATCTCGACACTCTTTCCTAGTAACATTTCTCTCGCTACCTTCTCTCTCTCTCTCAGCTTTAACAATAGGTGCCTATGGATCTCCAAGATGCCATCCCTGACTCCATGGCCGCTATCCACTGAGAGGCCCACTGCCCTGACACGGCCTCACGGTACGTGCGAGGAGTCGGTATGTCAAGGGCACCGGGGTCTCGCTCAGGGGCTAGCAACATGGCACAAAGATGGGGAGAAGCGGCTGCCAAGAACTCCAGCTCAAACTGCCTGTGGATCTCCAGTACCTCTGGCAGGCGCACGCTGAGCTCCAACACCCTTAGATTTAGCACCTCTAGTGCCAGTACCCGCAACTCCAGCACCCTCAGAATTAGCTCCTCCAGTGTCCGTGCCCCCAACACCAACATCCCCAGAGTCGACTGCAACCTCTCGTGGTAGTGCCGAAGGCTGTCTTGGTGACTGTGAGGACGACTATGGGGAAGGAGACGGTACCTGACGTGCTACCGAGGGGAGAGGGGTAGCGTGTGACACACCAGACGGGGCAGGACCCGGGGGGGGGGGGGGGGAGCGGGGGCAGGAGGAGGAGAGGGGGCGAGGAAAAGGTGAGGGGGGAGGACCGGGAGACCTCGACAGGGGTACCGGGTGTAGTAGGATACAGAATCGTCAAACCGGACGTCACGAGAGTCAAAGAACCGGTGGAGGGACGGGTTGTAAAAGGTGTAGTCAGAGGAGTCCACAGGAAAACCAAGGAAGACACAGGGAATGGCGCGAGCGGAGAGCTTGTCCGCAGAGGTGTCGCGGACAAGCGCAAGGCAGCCCCAGACACGAAACTCCGACGCGACACCAGGGGACCCAGTCCAAAGACTGGTCGGTGAAGCCCCTGGCCGTGAGACGCGAGGCCAGAGGTTCAGCTGGTGAGCGGTGTACCGAACCGCGTAGGGCCACAGAAAATGGGGCGTATGGGCGTTGATCATGGAGGTACGGGCAATCTCCATGATCTAGCCTATGCGGCGCTCAGCAACCCCATTCTGTTGTGGGGACTCTGGAAGCGTCCAGGACTGGGTGATGCCCTTCTCGCTACAGAATCCGGCAAGAATGCTAGAGCAAAACTCACTCCCACGGTTGGAGTGAAGACAACTGACACGTCGACCACGAGTGGTATCAGTGGCAAGCAACCACCTAATCAGCGTAGAAGTCACCTCAGACTTCTTCGCCAAGGGGAACACGGTGGTGTAGCGGGAGTAGTCGTCAACGACCACCAAAAAGAAACTCTCCCTCTCAGGCCCAGGGCGAGGAGCAGGTCCTCAAACGTTCAAGTGGAGAGTCTCGAAGGGCTCAGTGGCGCGTAGCCGACCCTCGACACAGGGAGTGCACGGCAGCACGGGCGAAGGAGGGAGCGACGCAAAGACGCGTGGGAGGCCGGAGACAAGACCCTGACTGAATATGCCACGAAGGCGTGGGAGGGACGGGTGACTGAGATGGTGGTGCCACAAGATGGTGGGGTGGGCAAGCGACCGACACGAGCACAATGCTGCAACCTGACCAGGCACAGCTACTTGGCGGGACGCAGCTACCTGGCGGGACGTTAGGACCTGACGGGGGCCAGTGTGCAGCGTGTAGAGACCAGAACCCGGCTCCTGGCGAAAGGTGGTCAGGGGGGCATATGTGTCACCGTCCACACAAGTTGCAGAGTCCCCAGAAGGCTCAAACCAAACACCAACGTGCTGACGCGCTAGAGGGCGCACACCCACCAAGTTCCTGGAGAACTAGAGGACGTGGAGGCCTGTCAGGGAACTTGAGGGGGTGGCCAGGCACAGGAGCGTAGTAGAGTGGCGAGCAATGACTGGTCCCGAAGTGGGATCAACCACTGCTATAGAGACCAGTGCAGGAAGCGGAGTAAGAGTCGTGTGGTCGCGGAAGAAACACTTCGACCCACCAGAGTCCAGCGTGAAAGACAACGATGCGTCTGCCAAAGTGGCACGTGGACTAGCGCCTAAACAGGCACCTACACTAGCAACGGGCACAGGATCAACACTAGCACCTAAGCTATGAACAAGCGAGAAAACAGATCCAGGAGCACTATAGTCAACATCAGCATACATAGCATGCACAGATCCTAACAGATCAAGGAACTGCCACGGGGCCATGCGCCGACCTCCACTCCTCCAGCGACAGGTCCTCGTAGAACACCACGTCCGACGTGGTGACCACCCGGTTGGCGGCGATGTCGAGGAGCTCCCAGCCCTTGCTCGCCTCCGACACGCCGAGATGAAGGCCCCACTTGGCCTTCGGCTTCAGCTTGCCACCCCGCTGCTGCTCGGGGACGAGGAACTGCGCCATGCAGCCCCACACGCGCGCCAGCGACAAGTCGGGCTTCGTCCCGGTCAGTAGCTGGTATGGCGTCGTCCCCGGCGTCGCCGACCGCTCGAGGCAGTTGCGGATCCAGACGGCCTGCCGCAGGGCGAGGTGCCACCAGTGGTGCTGCACGCCCATGTGCAGTAGCATCGTCCTCACCGACTCCACCACCGTCCGCATCTCCCGCTCCGCCATGCCGTTCTGCTGCGGGGTGTACGGGCAGGTCAAGTCGTGGACGATCCCTTTGCCGTCCACGAAGTCGGTGAACGTCGTCCCGAGGAACTCCCCGCCTCGGTCCGAGCGCAGCATCAGCACCGACTTCTCCGTCTGCCTCTCCACCAGCACCAGCCACTTCTGGAACTCCAGCAGCACGTCCGACTTCTTGGCGACTGGCCTCACCCACACGAAGCGGGTCTTGCGGTCCTTCAGCAGCAAGAAGTACAGGCTACCGTCCTTGGCAGCCACGCGGAATGGCCCACACAGGTCGATGTGGACGACGGCTAGCACGTCGGCGGCGTCGGAGCCTTGGTCGGGGAAGGTGTGCCGCGCCAGCTTCCCGCCGACGCACGAGACACACGGTGGGTCGGCGCCCGTCGCCGACTTGAGGTCCAGCCCAATGGCGACCTCGTTCTTCGCCGAGCTCCTGATGGTGTCCATGCCGACGTGCGCAAGCCGAGCATGCATCCTGTCTGGCGTCGACTTCGTCTTGGAGACGATCGCCCGCAGGGCCACAACCTCCGGCGTGGGCGACGTCGACCTCGGTGAGCAGGGACGCAGGTCGGTGCAGAGGACTCGCCCGGAGTACGTCGCCCGACCAAGCACCTCTCCTGCTGCCGAGACAAGCAGCATCCTGTCGCCGTCCTCTTGAAACTTCACGCCATGCTCCTTCAGCTGACCAGACGACAACAGGTTTGCCCGCACACCCGGGACGTACAGCACGTCGGGGATGAGAACCTGCTTCCCGGCCTCGCCTTGCAACGCAACCGTGCCCCGGCCCTGGACGTCTTGCAGCGCCCCATTGAAGCCACGCACGTGCTTCAAGTCGCCGCTCGGCCCCAGGTCGACGAAGGCGTCCTTGGTCCCCATCAGGTGGTGGGAGCAGCCGCTGTCCAGCAAGACCACCGCCGGGTTCGCCTGCACTGCTGCTGCCATCGCCTGGAAATCCTCACCAGCCTCCGGCGCCAGTGAGACGGTCGGCTCCACAACGCCGACCAGGGAGCACGACGCCGACTTGTCGTTGCTCCCCTTGCCGCTAGGAGAGGGGTCGGCGTCCTTCGCCGAGGTGGACGACTTGGTCGACTGCTTCTCCTTGCGCGGCTGACTTCCTCCTCGACGAGATCGACGACTGCCAGACCTCCCGCGGCCTCCCTTGTCGTCGTCGTCCGAGTCACTGCGGTCGGGGCACTCGAAGGAGAGGTGATCGGGGTCGCCACACAGCCAGCACTCCCGACGTCGACTTCCTCCTCCCCGGCCACTGTCCTTGGTCGACTTCTTCTTGTCGACCTCCTTGGCCGACTTCGAGCCACCGCTACCACTGCCGCCAGACTGTCCACGCTGCCCCGGTCGACCGCCTTGCTTCGCCGGGGCGACAAAGTTTGCCTGCGCCAAGAGCTCCTGGGACCGCTCAGCCTCCTGCATCGCCTCGTCCTGCAGGATGTACGAGGTTAGGTTGTCCTCGTTGAGCGTCGCCCTCGTGCTCGGCGCCATGGACAGCCGCTTCAACAGGTTGTAGCTGCTCCGGAGTCCCTGCATGACATGGGTGATGTACGACGCCGTCGAATACTCCGCACCGGCCATCCTGATGGTGGCGAGAATTCGCCGGGCCCGGTTGCAGTAGTCGGTCGCCGTCTCCTCGTCGCCCATGCGCAGGTGCGTCAGCTGCCCTTCAAGCTGGGCGATAAACAGGTCGTCGGTGACCTGGTACGTCGACTCAATGAAGTGCCACGCCTGGTGGCCGGCGTCGAGGTACTCCCTGCACCACTTCAGGGCGATCTGCACGCCCGGCGTGCAGCACCGCGAGATGACCGTGAAGGTCAGCAGCTGCACGGCGCGAAACTCCGCACGCAAGTCGGGGTCGCTCGGCGTCGCCACGGTACCACGAGCAAAGTTGATGAGCCCGGCCATCTCCAGCTGGGGCTCAATAGCTTCCTTCCAGGTGAGAATGTCGGGTCGGCCGACCAGTAGGGGAGTCACCGAGATCCTATCCGGCGTAAACTTGAAGTAGCCGTAGCTCGGTGCAATCCCGCCTGCTGTCACCTGGGTTGCCGACATCGGCACGGACCCACTCCGTCGACCTCCGACGTCGCCCTGCGAGAACCCTGCAGCCGCCGACGACCGCATTCCTCGCGTCTGAACGCCGCCGACTTCGTTGGCGTGAATCACACCACGCTGCCTCGACGTGCCTCCCGCACTGCTGCCGACTTGGTCGCCTCCAGCGTTGACGCCCATGTCGACGCCGCCCTCGGTGTTCACCAGTCGAGGAGAAGCAGGCCGAGAAGGGTGCTCCGTCGCCCACAAGGAACGGATGCCAGCCTCGACGACCGCCCACGGCAGGTCGCCATACTCGTTGGCCTCGTGCTTCCTCCTCGCGTTTTCCAGCCGTGCCTCCAGGGTGTCCACCACCCCCGTGTCACCTACAGCTACTACCATAGTGACTATCGCACAGCTGCCGGCCTACGAACAACTTAGGTAAGGTGCCTACCAAGTCGACTAGACTGAAAGGTAAGTCGTTGTGCCGTCCACGCTCACCGCACCATGCGGAGATAACTCTAGTAACGGGAGCTAGACTACGGGCTAGGCACGGATGCTCGTGTGATCTCTGCGTTCTCTGTTCCTTAGTCGTTTTCCTAGTGCACTCACTGCTTGCTAGTTCACAAGGCAATTTGGCAAGAGTTTCACTAGAGAAAGTTGACAACAATGATACAATGAAGTTGGCTAGGAAAGACTACATCAGAGCTAGGATGCAAGCAGGTCGACTGCCAGCGCGGCACGGTCGACCGCGTGCCAACACGACTTGGTCGACCGCGCTCCAGCAGTGCAGGGACGCGGCTTGCCAACGCTGCAGGTCGACGGCGTGACAACAGCGCAAGTCGACGGCGTGCCAGCGTTGCTCCTGCAGTCCAGCATCGCACCAGCTTCGCAGGTGCTCGTAGATGATTGGCGCGCACTGCTTCGTCACCTGCACAGCGTACGCACCAAGTCCACCTTGTGCTGACGACTGCATCTCATCTGCCAGGTCGACCTCGGGATACCACCACCGAGGTCGTCCTTGCCAACCTCGCCTGGGCGACCTTCGCGTGCCTTCGCAGACCCTCGTCACCCAGGTAACCTGGTCGACCGGGCAACCACGTCGACCAGGTGCTCCTGTGCGTGCCTGTCGACCTCCCAAGTCGACGGCCACCTCCAGTCGACCTCACCAGGTCGACCACGCCCTCTGGTCGACCAACTCCAGGTCGACGACACTCCTTGTCGACCACCTCCAGGTCGACCAGCACTCCTGTTGGCCGACCACCCAAGTCGGCTACCCCAGGTCGGCGTCCCCAAGTCGACGCCCTCTGCAGGTCGACTTCTCAAGTCGACCACTCGAAGTTGGCGCCCTCCCGAAGTCGGCGCCCTTGCAGTGGCTTCCGTGCAGGTCGACCAACCCCGTCGACCGGCTCGCCCACTACTGCAGGTCGGCTGCACCCCTACACCCGACCAGGAAGTCGGCTCCGCCCAAGCGAGGACGGGGCCAACACCCAACTCCCGTTGACAGCGAATCTTGTGGGGAGCTTGATTTTGGCGCGAAAACCCTTGCGGCAATTTGGGGGTCGCATGACCCAAACATACGTTTTATGTTGTTTGGGGCATCCGCAAATTGCGCATGCCCGGAACAGTGCTCATGACCCGAACCTGGATACGCCCTTAGCATCCTTTCTCGCTTTGTTGCGACTGGGAGACACCGTCTTGTTCACTGGACGGCGGCTAAGAGGGTGGCGAAGTACCTTGCCATAACATCAGACATGGGGCTTGTACTTGGAGGGACACAGCCAGTTGTACTCACCGGTCACTGCGACTCCTCCTACGCCGACGACGTTGAGACTCAGAGGTCTACGCAGGGTTACTGTTTCAGCCTGGGCTCTGGAGCTGTTTCGTGGAGGTCTACTCGGTCCTCCTCTGTTGCGACTTCTACCGCAGAGGCCGAGATCTACGCTGGAGCCCTTGCTGCACAGGAGCTACGCTGGTTGACCTTCTTGCTCACTGACCTTGGTGAGCGGCCGAGCTCTGCACCGACCTTGTTTGCTGACAACAAGGTGATGATTCTCCTGTGTCGTGAGCCTCGACTGGAGAGCAGAGTGAAGCACATTGACGTCAGGTACTTCCTCCTTCGAGAGTTGCAGAGACGCGGTCAGGCGCGTCTGGACTTCGTGGCCTCCGAGGCCAACACTGCAGACATCTTCACCAAGGCTCTTCAGCCTTGTGACCACCGCCGGTTTTGTCTGCAGTTAGGCCTCGTTGAGACTGGGTCTAGTAGACTGCAGTAGTGAGTTCTTGCCTCTTGTTTGTTTGTACTATATATATTAGCTTGTACTCTCTTGAACTGGCCTTGTGGCCCCTTGTTTGTGCTCAGACTGTGTGGTGACGTTGTGATCCACCCTGAGCTCTGTTTGCTCTCTTGCTTGTGACTGGTCTTGTGACCTTAGGTTGTGTTTTGTTGCTTGGCATTCCCCACTTAGGCTATGGGGGTGTGTCAAATGTTATAGCCTCTAGTGGGTCATGCTAAATCGGGTACAAACAGTTAGGATTAGGCATTTGTACCCCAACACAATCAATCTAACTCATTCCGCTGTTTTCACTTTGTAAGAGCAACCTATTGGTGCAAAAAAAAATCATGGAAATTTTATTTATCTGCAAAAAAAAAATGTAAAATAACTGGAAAAGGCTTGTTTAGGGTACTAATAAACTTGACAATCTTTTCATAATGATCATACCGTACGTGTTTAGGTTTCTTGTCATTTGATAGTCATTGATCCTATACATCGTTCTTTTGTAACGCGCATGATTTAGAAATGTGAAAATCTATGGAGAACTGCAATGACCGATCAAACGATAATTGCATTTCTCATACCGTAATCCCCTGCATAGTACACCCTAGGGTGTACTGATAAATACCCCCCTTCAGAGGGGTGTTTAATTAAGGGGGGTATTTATCAGGTGGGATAAACTCTTCAAATGGTGAGTTGACTTCTTCCAGACCTTCTCCCCCACCCCGAAGATGACCACTCTTCGAGTGCTGCTGCACGTTGCCGCTCAGCGTGACTACGAGCTTCACTCTCTTGACTTCAGCACAGCCTTCTTACAGGGCAGCCTGCACGAGGAGATCTGGCTGCGCCGCCCACCTGGCTTCACTGGGTCGTTCCCTCCTGGTACCCAGTGGAGCCTCTGGCGGCCAGTCTACGGTCTCCGCCAGGCGCCTCGTGAGTGGCACGACACACTGAGGACTACACTTGCGGCTCTTGGGTTCGCTCCTTCGACTGCTGACCCGTCGCTGTTTTTGCGCACCGACACTTCCCTGCCGCCGTTCTACATCCTCGTGTACGTCGACGACTTGGTCTTTGCCACTGCTGACACTGAGGCTCTTGCTCTGGTGAAGTCGGAGCTGCAGAAGAGACACACGTGCACAGACCTGGGTGAGCTGCGCAGCTACCTTGGCTTGCAGATCACCCGGGACAGAGCACGCCGCACCATCACCCTGACTCAGTCACACATGGTGCAGCAGGTCCTTCAGCGCTTCGGCTTTACCTGGTCCTCCCCACTGCCCACTCCTCTGGCTACAGGTCACTCGCTCTCAGCTCCACCTTCGGACGAGTCCGTAGAGCCGAGTGGTCCTTACCCAGAGCTAGTTGGTTGCCTCATGTACCTGATGACCTGCACTCGACCTAACCTTGCATACCCTCTTGGTCTTTTGGCTCGTTACGTGGCTCCTGGCAGGCACCGAAAGGTGCACATGGATGCTGCTAAGAGGGTGTTGCGCTACCTGTGCAGTACATCAGGCATGGGGCTTGTGCTTGGAGGACGGAGTGAGGTGGTCCTCACTGGGCACTCAGACGCGTCTTGGGTTGACGACCAGACTACACAGCGGTCGTCACAGGGTTACACCTTCAGCCTTGGCTCTGGTTCTGTTTCTTGGCGGTCTACACGCTCGTCTTCTATTCTCAGCTCCAGTTGTGAGGCTGAGATCTACGCCACCGCCATGGCTGCACAGGAGCTACGCTGGCTCACCTACCTGCTGACTGACTTGGGTGAGCGGCCTCGTTCTCCTCCAGTTCTGTACGTTGACAACAAGGTGGCCATTGCCTTATGTGAGGAGCACAGACTGGAGCACAGAACGAAGCACATCGCTCTACGTTACTTCCTGGCTCGAGAGTTGCAGCAGCGCGGTCAGCTTCGTCTTCGCCACGTGGCCACTCGGGCCAACACTGCTGATATATTCACCAAGGCACTTCCGTCTGGTGATCATCAGCGCTTTTGTACCCTGTTAGGCCTTGTGCCTACGTTTCCACACTTGCTGTAGACTTTGCTTGTACTGTGATCTATATATATACGTGCTGCTGGCTCTTGCTAGGTAGTCATCACTGTATTGTTATTGCTGCATATATATCTCTGCATGTGAACTGGCCTTGTGGCCCTTTGCTTGTGCTCAGAGTGTGTGGTGACGTTGTGATCCACCCTGAGCTTGCTCTGCTTCTCATGACTGGTCGTGTGACCCCTTGTTCTCCCCCACTTTGCCTATGGGGGTGTGTCAAACATATATGCTGCATATTGTCTAGGCTGTAGTGGGGTAGCCCATATGGGGTACAACCCAATTAGGGTTTACTACTTGTACTCCTGCATGCTGCTAGTTCATTCATTCCTGCTGCTAGATTCTAACAACAGTCAGGTCCCTGATGTTCTGATCCCCTGGATCCGTGCTGTTCGTCTCCAGCTCCGCGAGCGGTTCCAGTCGGACTTTCCTGTCCTGCGTCTGCACTCTGACAGAGGTGGTGAGTTCACCTCCGACCTCTTGCGAGCTTTCTGTGAGGAGCACGGCATCCGCCAGTCGTTCACACTTCCGGCCTCTCCGCAGCAGAATGGGGTTGCTGAGCGCCGCATTGGTTTAGTCATGGAGGTCGCTCGTACCTCCATGATCCATGCGGCTGCCCCCCATTTTCTGTGGCCGTTTGCAGTCCGGTACGCCGCGCATCAGCTCAACCTCTGGCCCCGTGTCTCCTTGCCGGAGACCTCGCCCACACTGCTGTGGACGGGGGAGGTTGGCGATGCATCGCGCTTCCGGGTCTGGGGTGCTCGTGCCTTTGTCCGCGATACCATCGCGGACAAACTCTCCGCTCGCGCTATTTTCTGCGTCTTCCTTGGTTTTCCTCCTGACGCGCCTGGCTGGCAGTTTTACGACCCCGCTTCGCGCCGTGTCTTTGCGTCTCAGGACGTCACCTTCGACGAGTCGGTCCCCTTTTACCGTCTCTTTCCCTACCGCACTGCCGCTCGCCCCCCCCCTCCGCTCTTTCTCGCTCCAGGTCCTCCCCAGGTAGACCCCCTCCCCGTGCCAGGTCCTGCTCCTTCAGGTGTTTCTCAGGTAGATCCTCCTGTGCCTGAGCCTGTTGAGGTCACTGGTG